TAAAGAAAATGCCCAACATACAGACTAAGGACAGAATTTTAAAGGTGATGGGAGAAAAATATCAGATTATACACAGGGGAAACCAATTCAGATCTGAGCTGATTTCTCAACCCAGACCCTCAAAGCTAGATGGTCCTAGAATAATGTATACCAAACTCTGAAAGAAAACGAATGCCAACCAACAATTCTACAACCAACAAAATTAACTTCAGTTTTGAAGATGAAATAAAAATCTTCACTGACAAATAAAAGTTAAAAGAAAGCCTGACTAGAAAGTCTGAGCTATAGAACATTCTTAACAAAATATTCCATGAAGATGAAATGGAAAAAAAGTGAAAACCAGCAAAGAAAGGAACTACACTATAGGAATAGTCAACCAAAAGAGAAATTCAAATTAATAACCAGAAACAAACAAAAATGAATGGGAATACAAATCATTTCTAAATAATAACACTGAACATTAATGGCCTATATTCATCAATTAAAAGACATAGGACTGGCAGATTGAAATAAAAAACAAGACCCAACAATATACTGTCTCCAAGAGACTCACCTCATCGTTAAAGATATCCATAGACTGAAGGTGAAAGGATGGGAAAAAACATATCACTCCATGGATAGCATAAACAACAGGGGTTTCTATCTCATGTCAGATTAACTTTTCTGATAAAGTGGACTTCATGCCAAAGAAGGACATTTCACACTGCTTAAAGGAATGATAAATCAATAAGATATAATAAACAATTGTAAATATTTATGCCCCAACAATGGAGCATCTACGTATATCAAACAAACCCTTCTCAATTTCAATAATCAAATATACCACAACACAATAATACTTGGTGACTTTAACATACCTTTCTTATCACTGGATAGATCCTCCAAACAAAAACTTATCAAAGAAACTACAGAACTAAATAATACAATCAATAATTTAGACTTAACAGACATATATAGAATATTTCATCCATCAATGATGGAATACACTTTCTTCTCAGCAGCTCATGGATCCTTCTCTAAAACAGACCACATCTTAAGCCACAAAGCAACTCTTAGCAAATACAAAAAAATAGAGATAATACCCTGCATTCTATCACATTATAATGGAATGAAATTAGAAATCAATGATAAAACAAAAAAATAGAAGCTCTAACACCTGGAGACTCAAAAAACTTAACACACACACACAAACACACACACCCCATTTAATAAATGGGCTAAAGAACAGAATAGATACTTCACAGATGAAGAAATACAACTGATAACAAATATATGAAAAAATGTTCAACATCTCTAGAAATCAGAGAAATGCAAATCAGAACTACATGAGATTTCATCTCACTAAAGTTAGAATGGCAATTATTAAGAATACAAGCAACAATAAATCTTGGTGAGTCTGTGGGGGAAAAAGCTGGTGGGACTGCAAATTGGTGCAACCACTCTGCAAAGCAGTATGGAGATTCCTTATAAAACCTGGAATGGAATCACCATTTGGTTTATACCCAAAGGAATTAAAATCAGCATACTATAATGACACAACCACATCAGTGTTTATAGCACAATTCACAATAGCTAAGCTATGGAACCAAACTAGGTACCCTTCAATGGATAAATGAATAAAGAAAATGTGGTGTATAAAGACAATGGAATATTACTCAGCCCTAAAGAATAATTAAATGATGGTATTTTCCTGTAAATGGATGGAGCTGGAAAATATCATGCGCTAAGTGAAATAAGCCAATCATAAAGAACCAAAGGCCTTGGGCTGGGAATGTGGCTCAAGCAGTAGCGCGCTCGCCTGGCATGCGTGTGGCCCAGGTTCGATCCTCAGCACCACATACAAACAAAGATGTTGTGTCCGCCAATAACTGAAAAATAAATATTAAAAAAATTCTCTCTCTCTCTTTAAAAAAAAAAAGAACCAAAGGCCAAATATTATCTTTGATATACAGATGCTAATTCACAATGTGGAGAGCCGGGGAAGATTAGAGGTATTCTGGATTGCACAGAGGGCAGTGAAGAGGGTATAAAGGTAGGAAGGATAATATAATCAACTGGACATAGTTACCCTATGTGCAAATATTATTACATGACTGGTGTCATTCTACATCATGTCCAACCAGAAGAATGATACTCCATTTATGATGTGCCAAAATACATTCTACTGTCATGTATAACTAATTTGAACCCATTCATCTCTCCCAAATTTTACCCCATACAGAAATTCTGCTGATTAAGATCTGATTAAACTAGTGATTTCAAAAGCTGTTGTTAATCAAAATCTTCTTTTTTTTTTCTTTTTTTATTAGCTGTTCAAAACATTACATAGCTCTTGACATATCATATTTCATACATTTGATTCAAGTGGGTTATGAACTCTCATTTTTCCCCCGAATCAAAATCTTATGAATTGAAAAAAATAAGTGGTTCATCTGTAATCTTTAATTACACAGGTGATTTGGATGCTTAGCTTTGGCATTAGTGGCATGTATTCATTCCTTTACCCATTTGCTACAAATCCTCTAAAGTGGGAACTACTACTATCCTAACTTCTAATAGACAAGTACTAAGCAGAACAGACAGGAACTAAGCAGAGGATGCCTGAAATTAAACTGAGCAAGTCAATGGCAAAATTGGGCAAAACTCTTAGGATTTCTGACTTGTGATTATTAATTAAACTAAATTGACATGAGAAATAGTTTTAATAAAACATGGGTGTAAAAGTAGAATAGTCAGATATTATTCTCTTCAGCTAACAGATCTATTATTTTGTTTAACAACTATTTATTGAATACTGGTTTGTATGTGCCAATTGCTAATCCAGGCTGGGAAAAATGGGCCAGAATATCTGCCTTCTCATTTTAATGAAAGGAACACCATATCACTGTAGCATCCTCAAAATGGCCCATGAATGTGAACAAATAGCCTCAGAATCCAAAATTCAATTTACCATTATAGGAGAGAAAATGATAACTAATGCAAGACAACTGACCTATTGACAACTTCAGTAAAGTATAAAGTTTGAGCTAAGGTCATCCTCAGAAAATGGCAAGGTTGACTGTGTGTGTGTGTGTGTGTGTGTGTGTGTGTGTGTGTGTGTGTCTGTATAAAACAGGTCAAAGATTTGAACTGGAAAATATTTTAGGAAAGCAAAGTTAAGATTGCCCAGCTAATATGGAGTGGGCATTTGAGGTTGGTCAATAGTGGTACCAAACTACCCTTCTGCTATATGGTTTTATCTAGCAGTACTCAGAGTTCATTGAGAGATGGAATATTATTAGGTGCACAGGAAAGCAGGAAGAAGGATGAAGAAAGATGAGGTTGTCTGTAAGAAAGATTATCATGATCACCATAGAATTTAAGTTGGATATGGAGGGAAGAGTAAAAATAGGAGGTAACTAATATAATAGATGGAGAAAGTGGTAGAGCTCAATGGATTAGAAAAAGAAGTAATATGAGCTTCTATAAAGGAAGAATAAAGAACAGAGGCTGAATAAAAAGGAGAAAAGGTTGTTACAACTTGCCCCAATAAAAATCAAAGAGATTAACAGTTAAATTAAGTTTCACACTTATGCTGCAATTATTTTAAAAACTAGTTATTTTAGTATGAAAATAAAAATATGAATTAAATTTAAAATGCATTAGAGGAAGATGATGTTATCAATACTTAAAGCAAGAAAAACCTTTATAATAAGTAAAGATTTAATTTGTTGGATCGTTACAAATTTTTCTTAAAGTAAGCGTATTATGTAATGAGATTAAAAACAGTATCAGCTACTTTCTCATTAATGCTACACTAATTGGATCACACACAGATAAGAGTTTCAGAATTTCATCTGGCATTCAGATGATGCTAATAATCTGACATGTGGCAGGGCGGGTGGAAAGTGATCTCCCAAGGTCCATGCTTTCTCTTAGACTTATTACTTATCTGTAAAAACCAATGGCACTGTTCACTGGATTTCTCAGAAGGTTTAAATTGACAAAGGCAGTATCAATTTTCTATCACACATTTTTTGTTATCATTTTTTTGTTTTTTATACATCTTACTTTCAGAATAAGCTTCAGCTCAAGCTTGGATGAAGACAAATTATGTTGCTTTTACATTGAACATCACTGTTACCATGCTAGGACCTTTTTATGAAGTAGTTAAAAGAAAAAGGAAACACATATCAGAATGAGTAGGCCAATGAGAGACTTCTGTAGAAATTCACGTTAGTATTCCCATACTTATCAGTACCAAGATCCATGTAAGGCATCATAGTCTTCTGACTCACATCACTGACAACCTCCTTTTTATGATGTGACCACTTAGGGGAAACACACAGTGGCATGTGTTAGAATACAAAGAAAGCATTGAAACACCTGTAGCATTGCCTATGCCTTTGACTCTGCACTGGGCCTAAGGTTACAGGGGGAAAGAAAAAAGAAGGGACTGACTGTATTATTACTTGCTGCTGAATATAAGTAAATGATGCCTATTGCTGATTTATAAAACTAACTTTTTTCCCCCTAAAATGCCACCTTTTCTTTTTAAAACACTTATTAGCAAATTCAAAAGAAAGTATTTCACCTGGGTGGAAATTTGGTTTGGGTCTTTGTATTAAATTCATGTTCAAGAGTGAAAACTTTTTAATCCTCAAAAATCAAAGGCTGAATGTTCTCCCTGATAAGTGGATTCTGATCCATAATGGGGATGGGGGGTGGGCATGGAAAGAATGGAGGAACTTTGGGTAAAGGGGAGGGAGTGGAAGGGAGGGGACATGGGGGCAGGAAAGATGGTAGGATGAGATGAACATCATTATGCTAGGTACATGTATTACTGCACATTTGGTGCAACTCTACTACCAGAGAAATGAAAAGCTGTGCTTCATTTGTGTACAACGAACTGAAATGCATTCTGCTGTCATGTACAACTAATTAGAACAAATAAAAAATGATAAAAAAGAATGAAAACTTTTGCTGAGAGAAGACTCTATGAAGGAGGAGAAACAACTCACCACTCAGTTGATGGGCCACAGCCAGGCGGCTGGGCTTCAGGATGAACTGACACTGCATCTCTCGGGGCAGCTGTTCCATAAGGAAGGGCTCTTGCAGGTTGGCAGGGGAGGCAGAGTCCTTTGATCCCTGTGCCAGAAGAATAGTGTCTCGAAGATGGCTCATTTTAATTCCATAGGGATATTCATGCCCTACAAAGAGAAAAATCTAAATGTATTCTTCAGGTTGACTAATACAATACTGTGAACATGTTTGTTACAAACTTATATGTATTGCAATTTATACTCCCGGGACTTGTAGTATAAAGAATCCTTTTGTTGACTGAATGACCACCACGCACAGGTGGACCTACCAAAATACTTTTATGGTGAGAAGGGAAAGAAGGGAAAAAATCTTTAATGAATATCTTATTTCAAATGATTACATGGAAAGTGAATCTCATACAATAAAAATTTTAGATCAAAATTCAGTGCAGAAAATGATTGCAATGATCAGTCTGTCTTTCAATTTTTTTTAAATTTTTTTTAGTTGTACATGAACACAATGCCTATATTTATTTATTTATGTCTATGTGGTGCTAAGGATTGAACCCAGTGCCTCACACATGCTAGGCAAGTGCTCTACTACTGAGCCACAACCCCAACCCTCTGTTTGTATCTATCATTTAGAGGCATTTGAGTTTCTCATTTGATACTAACTAGATCTGTCAATCTTCAGAAATCTATTGTCACTCTTCAGCCTCAAATTCACGATTTAAAATTTTTACATAACTATCACAAGTATTACGAGGATCAAATAAGTAAACATTAGTGGCTAATAGTTAAATAGGGACAAAAAACTACATATGTCAAGTATCACTACTACTATTATCTAGCATGTTCACCAAAGACATTTCATTCACTTTTAATAATTATAAAACTTGTTATTCAAGAGCCTTGGGACTAATTTGTTTTATTTATGTTTCCCTTCCAGTGCTAGGCTAGGTTGGTGTTCATAGGCTAAAGTCAGAAGACTGCAGATTAGAAACACAGACACAGGTATAACAAGAAATTTATAAACTAGAAAAACTAAACCTTGGAGACATGACTGCAATGTGATTTTTGCTCTGCAGTACTCTAAGGAAATATCCCCTTGTAATCCTCAAGTTAACATCATGTTATTGACTTTTTAAATACACAGAGTAAGTTCTATTTTTAATACTGAATATAACTTAATGAATTCTTACTCTTCCTTTCCAGTGGCATAGGCATACAATGTAAATGTTATCAATATTTCCACATTACAGTAACTTCCAGGGATTAAGACAAATATGGTTTCTATTACAGCAGTAATACAAAATTCATTTATCAAAATAGCCAACTACTAATGTACAGCTGTTTTGCAAGTCATATTTAAAATGTATAATTAAAAAAATCACATGTAAATCATGTCCCATGATTTTTCAGTAAGAGCTGGTAATGAAAATTTGAAACTGTTTAAGTTACTATCATCCACCTAGATTTAATGAATTTATTAAAATAACAATTTAAGTATATATTTGATTTTGTAATGACTACTTTCATTGTTGCTCATTCACTTTTACAAAAATGACAAGATAAAAAATAAACCCTGAAGTGTAAGCAGTTTTGTCTTTAGTTATATGCATGACAACTTTCTATATTCTAAGTATAAGCATTAGAATACATAGAAAGATTTCACAGAAAAGTCTGGCTTTAGATGACTCAGCTTACTTGAAACAGTCTGAATTATACAACAGTGATCATCATTGATGATGGAAGGATTACATAAGACATGATTTAAACAATGTTGAAAAATATCATCTCAAGAGCTGCTATAGATACTGTCCCTTACTTTAATACCTGTATTTCTAAGGCAATAAATGAAATTACTTATCAAGAAATTTTTTTAGCTAATTAGTTAAAATAAGGTGAAGTGTAACCTATTAATAATTCCCCAAAACAAAGGCTGAAAAATTTAGCTAGAGTAATAGTAGTAAGTGAAATAGTAGTTAGCAAATTAAGACTTTTAGTAGTCATAAAGATTTAATCTATTTTTCTTTGATACCTAGGAAAGGTAAAAAGTGGCACAGACAGGTATTATACATCTAATGTTGGATGAGATGCATGATTGCATTATGGTCTTCCACCGAGCCAATGTAGTAAAATGTGAGAAAGGGAATAGGAACTTTGAGAAATTAATATGGGATACTAATATTTATTGCTTTCTTATAGTGATAATTAGCTTGGCAAGATAGCTTTAATTGTAAAGTGAAAAAGCAAAGAGGAAAATTTACACTTGTCCTCCTGACTATACCATTAGTTGCTTGAGTAAAAAGATACTACTGTCAAGCACAAAGCAAATGTTTAATATACATTTAATGAATGCACAACACCTGAGATTTGATAGTATTTAAGCTTAGGATCATATGACGAGCTCTGAGACACTTAGAATTATAATTAAAATATATTATAATTAAAACATATTAGTGTCTTAGATTTTCACAGAACTTACCAATGAGTGGATATGGTGCTGCTTCTTTTCCAGAATTGACCCATAACTGGTAATCTCTCTCAGAGCCCTTGGAGATAAAAAAACTAAAAGTCACAATTAATCTTCTGTCTAGTACTTGAATGAAGACACAGTATTGGCATTTTTAAGCTTTGCAAAGAGGAAGATTTAGAAAAATTATAAATGCTATTCAGGTTCCTGGGACAGTGGATATTATTATTTTTTTTAAAGATGGCAGTGCTGATTCCTACAACCCATCTCCCATTCCCCAAAAGGACTTGGAAATTCTGCCCCCACCACTGATGTCTAGGGATCCACAAACATAATGGAATTGGACATTCACTATAAAGGTAAGCCCATGGAAGGTGAAATTGAAGCCAGGTCCTTTTACAAAGAACAAACTTCCTTTTTCTACAAAGCTAATCTTTAGTTCTTTAGAGTCCTCACTTCAGTAATATCTCTGGACTTCTCAAAGAATGTAACACGCTTCTGCAAAGTCAACCTGTTACCCAGCAAGCCACAAACACCTCTGTATCTATGATTAAAAAGTAAAATATCAGAGGTGATTATTAATTAGAATGACCAAAAGGCTTTGAGGAGATAGGTAGTTGGCAGTTGTATTGGCTTTGGTTTGGGCAAGTCCAGTCCTGGAACAGAAAGGATAAGAATTCTACCTAGAGACTAGGCCCAGTCATGGAAAATAATAAAATTGTTCACTAGGAGAATTTAAACCCAGCAAGACTATAAATCCCACTTCAAAGAAATAAAACTAAATTTTATAGACTTTGCTGAGTCCTGTGGAATAAATCAAAATGTTTTAAATGGAAGTTGGAACAAAAATAATCAACTCTGTTATCAATATTTCATATGCTTGTCTTTAACCTCTAATAAAAAATCATGTTAAGATAGGTGAACAAATAATTGTCAAATGACTATCAAAAGGCAAATATAATAAAAGGTCCTAGGTATATAGAATACCATACAAACTGCTATCTGCTCATCCCCTAATAAAAGAGTAAGAACAACCTAATCTTTTTACGTAGTCTGAAAACACTTAAAAATATGTTATAACTAACAGCCTCAATTCTTAAGTTAATGTGACTTCTTTTTTTCAATTTTTTTTTGGTCTGAGCAGATTGATCACTTTATTTAGAGGAGAATACAAAAAAGAAATTGAGTTATGAATTATATATGTAAGTAGGAAATCAATGCCGATGTACCTGCTTTACCTGGTGTAAATAAAATTTAATTACATTTTAAATGTTACTAAATTTTACTAATGAAATATATTTCTTATCTCGAATTTTGGTTGCCTTGAATTCTTTTTTTTGTTGACATTATGATTTATTGGTTTGTATTATTACAATATGGTTTCATAATATACATTAATGTCACATAACAATAACTATGAAATATGATATGTCAAGAGCTTTGTAATGTTTTGAACAACCAATAAAAAAAAAAGAAGGTTGGGAATATTTTACGTATTTTACTTCCCAGATAAATTTTAGAAAAAAAAATTGTATTTGGTTTGATTTATTGAAAAAAAAAACATGATAAAATTTTTATGGGGAAATACTATACATCAAATGAGATAAAATGGTTGTCTTTGCAATTATGAGTTTTATTTACACACATAGTGTGCAGAATGAAATACATTATGTCCTCCATAATTTTTTATTTTGTTATAAGTTCTACATATTTCTCTTGTAAGTCTTTATACATGTGATATGTTACACTGATATTACTTCTATTTAATACTTATATGATATTTTGTTCTGTTAGTTAAACTGGATGTAATGAAACTAAAATTAAAATTGTGTTTGGTCCCTAGAAACCAATTTTTCTCAAACTTTATTATTTATTTCATTTTGAAAGTATGTCCTCTTTCCTCCTAGCACCCAGATTTCAACTGTATGGATCAACACAGCTGTAGTCTTATGCTATCATATAAGTATATGCTATCATGATTCAAAGGTACAGCAGTTTCTATAGGTCTATGCTACTTGTTGAGGAGTACCATATATATTAAATAAACAATTTTCACTAATAAATAACAGCAATTTACATTACCTTTCTAATTCATGAGAATTTGTTTCATGTCCGTATCAATACTGTGTAATTTTTTTAAAAAAATTCTGATTTGTTATACATGATGGCAGAATGCATGCCCTGAATTCTTAGTGGCCTTTGTACAGTACTATGTAAGAGAAAATATAAATTCAATAATGTCTTAAATGTGTCATGTCATAACTTAATAGAGTGTTTTAATAATTTAAAAATGTTCTAATGTTTTCATATGTTGTGGTTTAGATATGAAGTATCCCCTGAAATCTAATGTGTGAGATGGTGCAAGAATGAAATGATTAGATTTTGAGAGGTGTAACCTAATCAGTGGGTTAATCCATTGAGATGGATTAACTGGGTGGTAACTGTAGGATGATGGGAGGAGGTTAGTGGAAATCTGGTCACTGGGGGCAAGTCTTTGGAGTATATAATTTGTCCTGGTAAAGGGAGCTCTCACTCTACTTTCTGGCGTCATGTTCTGAGCTGCTTTCCTCCACCTCTCCCTTCCACGATGACATTCTGCCTCACCTTGAGCCAAGAGATAAGGAGTCAGACAATCATGGACTGAACCTCTGATACCATGAGCCAAAGTAAACTTTTTCTTCTCTATGTTGTTGTCATGCAGTCTTTTGGTCACAGTAATGAAAAGTTGAGTAAAACATCACCCTTCTAAAAATTACTCTTTTTACTAAAATTACTAATTGCGTGGTGTTTATGTAACATGTAGGAAAGCAATAAGGAAAACTTTCCTAATCTTTTTCCCCTATACCTCATCCTTGAATATTCCAATCTTTTCCAACAATAAAATTTCAAAAACTTGCCTCTGCCCCAGAAAAGAAGGAAGAGTATGATATGTACACTAAGGCTTTCCAAACCCATGATCTAATTCAAAGCTATTATTTTATTAACTAGCAGAATCAGCCATCTTAACCTCAGGACCTGCAGCCAGTCAATATGGCTCACAGCAAATCCTTCAGTACGCTTCGTCATCAGTACGCTAATAATGAGCCATCTTATGATAGAAGGGATAATTTACATCTAAATTACTAAATGTTACTTTGAATTTACAGTATCAAAGTTTCTTTATAATTAGGAATATCTATCATAGTAACTTACAGTTATCCCTAGCATTGATAATGACATGTTGATAACTTCACTCGCTGTATCTGAATTCATTACTGTTATAGTTTTAGACTGTGGGGAAAAAAAGAAATACAGCTATAAATAAAGGATATTAAAATAGATGAACAAATAATTGTCAAATGACTATCAAAAGGCAAATTCTGATTTCAAGTGTGGCCATAGTAAAGCACAAGACTTAAACAGAACATAAACATTTGACTGTAATTTACTTTCACTCCTTGATATATTATGCCTTCTGATAAAACATTTATTTTTCTTAAAGGATATGTGGCCTCACAAAATATAAGAACTTAAGTAAGTAAAAAAAATACTATTTCAGAGAGAGTACATAAACCCCGATCTCCCAATCACATACCCACAAAAATCAGCTATTCTTCTGTTTCACTGCCATAATTGTATTTCCATAATGCAAAGGAAATAAAAAAACGAAAAGCGATGTATTTCTATTTCTTCCTAAATACTGTTTTCACTATAGTTTATTTCTTTGCATGGTGTAAAATTGGAATAAGAACTGGTTACAAACTACATTTAAAACTTATTGAGTACTTTCTATGTCTGGCATTGTGGCTACTAAGATTTTCAATGTTGAAAATATTTAGAGTACTTAAAATTGAATCTAAAAAAATTAAAATTTTAGAAAGCTCAATTCTTTTATCAACTCTGTCTTTGAGTACCTATAATAGTTCTGTGCTCAACTTCATTGAGAACTGCTAATTAAAAATAATCACAACAGCTGGGTATGGTGGCATACCCTGTAATCCCAGCAGCTGGGAGGCTGAGGCATGAGGAAAGTGAGTTCAAACCTAGCCTCAGCAAAAGCAAGGCACTAAGTAACTCAGTAAGACCCTGCCACTAAATAAAATACAAAATAGGGATGGGGATTACCCCTGAGTTCAAATTCCAGTATCAGAAACAAACAAACAAACAAACAAACAAACCCACCTCCCCAAATAATTACAACAAATAAAAGGATTTATTTACATACAGAGTTCAATAAATTCTCAAAAGAGATTATATACAATACTATCCTATCACGAATAAGTTTGCTATGCATTTAAGTTTTACATAATTATCAGATAAATTGGCAATTAAGACTGTGTCTCTTGATAGAACACAAATAAGAAGCATAGATGGAAACAAAATGATATAAAACACAAAAAGGATATATTACAAATAAGCTAAGCGAAATCCACTAATAATTTGTCACATGTTCTTCTGTTATACTGTTTCTTCCCTCTGAGCCAATTAGTTGACAGGACAAACTTCTTCTAAAAGTTGTTATTAAATTTCAGTTTTTAAATAAAAGCATTTTAAATGCATTGATTTTTAAACAAGTGTTCCTTGCTAAACCCAGCAGCTCCAAGTTCAAGGTTAGCCTTAGCAACTCAGTGAGGCCCTAAGCAATTTAGTGAGATCCTGTTTCAAAATAAAATACTAGGATGTGGCTCAGTGGTTAAGCGCTCTTGGGTTCAATTCCTGAAACAAACAAAAAATTAACCAAACAAAAACTCCTAGTAGCTCCAAGGATTATGCAAAAATGTCTACGGTGTCTCACAATCCAACAGGGAGGTCCTGAAGTACCCAATCCAGAATCTGTTTTCCACCACAAGAGCATAGGAATGTTACATGCCAGGCTTAAACTTGAAGTACCATTTCAGAAAGGGCATCTGGCTTTTTTTTTTTTTTTTAAACATCTGAAAGAGCTCCCCTTCAGTTTAAAGAAACTCATGTTGTCTTTTGTATAGTGAAGAATCTATCCTGTTTCTAAGATAATTTTTCTTAACATTAGGCATATATTTTCAAAACAGTAATTATAGGAAATGTATTTTTGTCTACATACCTTTATGGGAAAGAAAACAAATTAGTTTCAGAAGAAAGAGCTCATTGGGTATAAACAAATAACAAAAGAGAAAAAAACTGAAAATATGGGTATTCCATTCCATATTAGCTGACAGGTTGTGTATCACTAAAGATAAAGGATGGGTTAAAAAACAAAGCCCTTGTTGGGGGAATCATTCTTCCCTGAAGTAGGGCTCTCTCAAAGAAACTCTTTCCATAAAATCTACTTCAGAGAACCAAAGAGTTGTCCTCACTTCATTCTTGATTTATCCATGGTCCTAGTGATAGAAGCAGAGCACCCCACCTTCATCACATCTTTTGTCAAAATGATTGGGAATTGGTTCTTTCTCAAGCATATACCTTCCATACATAAAATGTTAAAAAAAAATTTTCCCATGATATCTACACCTCAGGAATTGGTCAGAATTTTGCATTTTTTTTTTTTTTTTTTTTGCGGGGTGGCGGGGATACTGGGGATTGAATTCAGAATTCAGGGCATTCAACCACTGAGCCACATCCCCAGCCCTATTTTGTATTATTCAGTGACAGGATCTTATTTATTTTGAATAAAATACAAAATAGGCTGGCTTTGAACTCACAATCCTCCTGCCTCAGCCTCCTAAACCACTGGGATTACAGGCATGTGCCACTGGGCCCAGCTGGCTTAACTTTTGCTTTTGGTCAGAAGTGTGAAATATGACAATCCATAGTATCATAAAAATATATGTTTTTATTTTGTTTATCATTGATAACATTTTGGCTCTTGTACTACAATTTCAGTCAACAAATTACACATAGGAACATGGGTTAAAAACTAAACATTTAACAATATGATAAACATTATGAGGTAGAAGCATGCCAATTCCTTAAAAATCTAATTTCTCCCAGACCATCCACTTTTTAACTTGAGGGATTCAATCTCTAGAAACTCAAAGAATAAGCTTTAAAAATTATTTTAAGTTGAAGAAGTGACAAGTTTAAAGAAAACCTGCTTAATACTAATAAGGAAATACCTCCTTATGGAAATAATTTTACTACAAATCTCTGCAGCTGCTACTGAAAAGATCTCAGAGAAATATGACAGAGGAAGAAGAGACATCTGACAAACAGTATTCTTTACAAGCTTAAATGTTAAGTACTGTAGTTAATACAAATTCCTTGTTTCCTTTTCTTGAGCCTTTACTTCTCATACATACAAAGACACAAACCCAGGAGAAAGCATCTTCCTTTATATGCTATTTCCAGACACCTACCTTCTATAGTATGTACATTACCTGCCTGCCTGTCTCTTTTTAACCATGGAGTTTTCTGCCTTATACATAGACTTGGAGTTTAATTTTCTCACTTAGAACACTTACATAAGCACAGTTCCCAATGTCTTTGGCGAAGATTTTGAGGGGAATACTCTTCGGATAGTCCTTTTCTTTCTCTAGATTGATGTATCTAATCAAATGCAATGACAATCCAAAATGACAGTCAGATGGTATTCACTAATGGCTTGTTTTTTAATTTATTTTTACTAATATTTTCAATTTATTTACATGCTACTCTTAAAAAGACACGTGAAAGACTCAGCAAAGTCAGATTACATTATGGGTTGAAAGATAAATACAAAAGATTGCAAGACATTAGGCATGGGCATGGAAAAAAAATCCATGTCAAGTGAGGATTGAGAAGTATAATCAAGTTCAGGCACCTCTGGATGACATTTTTATCTTTAAAGCCTCCTTGTCTTCTCTGAAAAGGTCTGATACAAGAATATACATAACATTTTACTAAGTCAAACCAAAGCAAATGTTTTTTTACTTCTCATTTCATTCTCCAGTGGAGTATAAATCTTGGTTATCTCACTGCTTAGGGAGAGGGAAAAAAGAAGTAACAAGGAAAGGACTATGGGTTCTAACCAATGAGCTTAAGTTGACCATGTTAGTCTGTATGCTCAATGGTAGGCATAACTGATTTTTGTGGAGCTCCACAGAAATCCTTGCATTTTTGGAAACAATACATATTTTGGAGAAAATTATCTCCAATTGGTAGCAGCTTGGAGACAACAGCAAGAGATGGAAAAGATTACTAATATTTGTCTAAAATGATCTATTTGGACTTCAGTGTTCTCCTTCCTAGAAAGAAGAAACACTGTAATGAGAAGGAATTATTTTTAGCAAGGAGTAGTGGGTGGTCTAAATGAGAATTTATTTTGAGGGCAAATGAACAATTTATACTAAGGGGAAGAGTTTGGGGCACATTTCTGAAGAATATGGTTTAATTCAATTTCTACAGGCTAAAGATTAAAAATAAGTATACTTAAAAAATACCTCTGAAGAAGTGAGAGCCATTTGTCCTTCTGTTCTGGAGAACTGCAAAGAAAATGGGAGAGAAAAATTAAACCACATAAAATAATTATGCTAACATTTTTGAGGCTGCCAATCCAGATGAAAATATCAACAAGCCTGTTGTTACTGAAGAAGTTATACATGTAAGCTGCAAACCAGCATAATTTTGTCCTGGAAGACCCTGAAATGCCCTTGTAGGTTTGTTAAATTCTTTTGGATGGATCCAAGATAGACCCCTTTTTATACTTTACTGGTCTTTTACATGAAAAGTAGGTCTTGTAGTGAAAAGAGTACTTGATTTGTAATCCAAACAGCTGGTTTCCAAATTATATGCAATCTAGATGATAATCATGGGCAAGGTACTTATCCTAATCCTCAGTTCCTACACATATAAAACTAGATTAATCATTCTCACTCAGTGTTTAATCAGTTATAAGTATCATAATAGATAGAAAGTATGCTAAATATTGAGATGAAAGAGAAATTTGGCACATGGATAAAAATGTCTTGGCCCAGAAACCAGTTCTTTATCAGGAAAAGAAGCATTGTTTTCTTTTATATACATAGAGAAAAACTGTAATTTAAGAAATTAGTTTATAGAAAACTTACTACTTACTATAACCTTTTGATCAATGTGAATTTATTCACAACTAAATTACTATTAATAATTTTTTGATGTGAATGTTGCATTTAATTCACAAAGTTAAAAATAATTTCAAGTTTATTTTTCCAAAGTGTTATCTCTCACAGCCTTAAAAATCATATTTCCAATTTTCAGAGAAATTGGAAAAATTTTCTTATTTCAGGAAAATGTATTTCATAAATATTTGTAATTTATTTCAAACTTTGTTGCTTAATATTTTTCTTCATAAATGATCTTTCAGAATTGGTCAACGATTTTTTTTACCACCAGCCACACAATTTCTATCTTTAACAATTTCTTATTACTTCCTGGTATATTTTCTTTTCTAAAACAGATTTTCTAGTTTCATTTATGTCAAATATTTATTTATTTATCTATCAAAAATCTGTGTTGAAAAATAGACTAGATGTTTTCTTTGGGCTCATTAACTTTTTCAAAGCAGTGAAAGAAAACAGCACATTTAAGATACTTTTTTTAAAAAAACTTTTAACTGACAAATATATAGAGAAAACAGCATAGCTTTTAAGTGTACAGCTTGAGAAATTTTATGAATTGAATACATCCATGTAACCAGCACTCAGATTATAAAACAGAAAATAACCTTGGAAAATCCTCTGCTCCTTTTTAGCCACTAACCTCCACTATCTTACTTTCCAGTTGCATAGAAGAGTTAACCATACCAATAAAAAAAGTAAACGTATTAACTGCATGTAGTTTTAGAACCATTATTATTATTGCAATATAGTGTTCATTGTTTGAATAGATAGCAAAATAAACTAATTATGAACGTGTCAGGTTAATTTATGGAGATTGATTTGTTTAATTTTGTGTTGTTTTGCCTTTCCCCCTTGCTCTATACAAGAATCCAGAACTCCCCTTTCTTCTGGAATTCTTTATCCTAGTCATTTCTACAGGACACAAGTCCTCAGTACTCCAAAATCAATGGTTATCTCAGAGTTTCATAAACACCTAAGAACATTAAAAAAGACAATAAGATCCAAAGGAGAAGAATATAGTAGTGGAGGTAAGAAAAAGGTCAAGACAGATTGCAAGATTCTCTCAAATTATGGAGGGGATGGAGATCTATCATCCCTCAGTGTGAGGTGGGAACCAGATGTCAGTTCAGATGCCCTAAGAAAACAGAAAGAACTCGAAGAAATTGTTTTAAGGAACAACTAGGGAGGCTGAGTCCTACACACGAAGGAATTTGCATCAGCAAAGATACCTTACTGTACTTGCTGGAACATCTCTGGATGTAAAGCAACAACTATGGGCATAGCAAAAAGATGATGTTAGCAATGATTACAATAAATTGAAAGTTAGAGGTGGCTTTCAACTGTTTTGGAGGCATCTCAAAAATCTCCTGTATTCTGGTTTCACCTTAAGAAAAAAGTTTTGTTTTCTACCAGCATGTCAACATGTGAACTTAAAGTGAGTTTTAATTTGATCTATAAATAAACCCGAACACGAGTTTGTAGTCTATGACTACATTATAGTCTAAGACTCATACTTCAGTTAAAATATTATTCTGATTCCTATTATAGATAAATCATTGTCAGATTTAAGTATTTCCTTTAAAATAAGCATCATTTTTTCTGGTAGGCATAGATCCTAGGGTGTTTTTCTGTTTGTTTGTTTTGCAAAGGGGGTTGAACCCAGGGGCACTTTACCACTGAGCTACATCCTATGTTCTTTTTATTTTTTCAACTTTGAGACAGGGTCTTGATAAATTGTTCAGGTCCTCACTAAATTTCTGAGGCTGCCTCAAACTTGCAATCATCCTGTCTCAGTCTCCCAAGTCCTGGGATTACAGGAGTGCTCTACTGAGCCTGGCTTAGGTACTAGGTTTGTTAATAGAATATGAAGGCTGATAGAGATTTGAAATTCCTTTTAGTCCTTTTTAAGAGTTGTTTATCGTGTTCCCCAAAGTATGGGAAGTTCACATTGTTTCTCCCAGTTTGACCTAACTAAGAAATTCTCATAGATTTAGGCAGTTGTCAAGTATTAAATTTCAAAGCTGTAAGTTTTTATTTTTTGTTTCATTATAGATAGTGTAGTAACTGAGCCCAAGTGATTGCTTCTTGAGCTACTAGTCTAATGGTATTTAAAACTGATCATAGCCTAGAGTCTCCTTAATATTTAGTAAGTATGTGTGCATGTAGAAATATGTAAATATATGGTATATATTTAAAGATCCAAGCTTCCCTCTGATATAATATCACTTAAAGATCCAAGCTTCCCTCTGATATAATATCACTTCAGCCTGAAAGACTTCATTTTTTTTTTGTAGAGAAGGTCTGCTGGCAATAAATTTTTATGGTTAAAGAATATCTTTATTTTACTATCACTTTTGAGGAATATTTTTGCTGGATATTATACACTAGGTTAAAGTTTTCTCTTCCAATACATGAAAGACTGAAAAATTCAACATTCGAAGTTGTTTTTTAACTATCCTCTGACCTCCATAGTTTCTAATGAAAAGTCTACAATAATTCAAATTGTTATTCTCCATATGTAATATATTGTTTTTCTCTGACTACTTTCAAGATTTTCTGAGTACTTTCTCAGATATGATTTATAGTCGTTTGTCTATAATGACAAGATGTAGTTTTCTTCTGTGCTCTGTACTTATGTACTCTGGAGTTCACTGAACTTAAGAAATCTGTACATTTAGTCTTTTACCAAATTTGGGAGGTTTTTAACCATTATTTCTTCAAGTATTTCTTCTCCATTCCTTCTCTTTCCTCTTTCTGCAATTCCAATTACTTGTATATTATACCATTTTATGCCATCCCACAAGTCCCTGATACATTTTCCATTTTTTAAAAAAAGTTTTGGTTTCTCTGATCTTCATATTGTACAATTTGAATTGATGCATCTTCAAATTCACTGACTGTCATTTCCATTCTTAAGTAAGGCCATACAGAAGATTTTTATTTAAGATTTTATAGTTTTTTAATTTTTTTTCTTTTAACATTTTTTTAGTTTTCAACATTTTATTTATTTATATGTGGTGCTGAGAATTGAACCTAGGCCCTCACATGTGCGAGGCAAGTGCTCTATCACTGAGCCACAACCCCAGCCTAAGATGTTATAGTTTTTAATTTCAGATTTTTTCATTGACCCTTTAAAAATATTTCCTATCTCTCTGCCAAGATTTCTTATCTTTTCATTACTGTCAACTGGATTCTCTATTTACCTACCATGCTAAGGTGCTAAGTTCTTTTCTGGTAATTTAATATATGGGTCCATCTAAAAGTTGGCTTTTTGATTATTTTTTTCTCATTCCTTGTTATTTATATGTCAAGGAATTTTAGATTGGATTCTGGATATTATGAATGCTTTGTTTCAGAGATTGCCTTCTATTCTATTTTCAAAACAGTGTTGATATTTCTGTTTTAGCAGATAATTAATTTGATCAGGTTAAGTTACAAGCTCTATCCCACCTGTGATGATCAGCAGCTCAGTTCAATTCTTTTAGTTTCAAGCTGCTCTCTATGTATCCCATGCATGTAGGGTCCAGCATTTGGCTAGATGCTTGGAGGGCATCTGTACACAGAATGTGGAGCTTTCTTTTTCTGACATGCTTCTTTTTGAGTCCCCTCACACCCCATTTTTCACTCACTTTTCATTAGTTGTACTGACTTAGACTCTGTACTCTGCTTCTTCAGGCAAAAGATCGTGGGGTTTTGTAAGTTTTAGCTACCCTGCATCACAGTGTGAGTGCAGCATGCCCTAGACTAAAGCCTTAAAAGTGGGAAACTCACCGGGTGTTGGTGGCTTCTTTGAAGTTTCAATTCCTCTCCAAAATCTCCCAAGTTTTGTCCACTCTCCAGAACCCTTAGGTAGTTGTTGTTGTTTGTACTTTGTTCAGATTTTACAGTTATCTGTAGGGTGGTCAGTCTGTTAAGATCTCACTCTGCCATACTGGAGGTAGAACTCCTCAACACTTCTTTTTAAATAAACTTAATTTTGAAATAATTTTAGATATACAGAAAAGTTACATATATATAAGAGTACTTGTATACTTCTCACCCAGATTCAGTTTCCTGGAATGTTATCTTCTTACATTATCATGGCCCATTTGTCAAAGCTAAGAAATATTGGTATCTACTATAAGCTAAACTCTTGACTTTGACTTTATTCAGATGTTACCAGTTTTTTTCTTTTAATTAGGGACCTTTTTCTGTTCTGGAGCCAATTTATTACATTTAGTTCTTATGTCTTGTTAGTGAATGGTCTAGGCAAACTTCTCTATCTTTCCTGTTTCTGACCTTGACTATTTTGAGAAGAACTGGTCAGGTATACTATTAAAACCTTCCTCAATTTGTGGTTGTTGGAGGTTTCCTCATAAGATTAGGGTTATGGGTTTTGGGTGGGAGGGGAGAACACCACAGAGGTAAATTATTCTTCTTTTACATTATTATATTAAGGGGTACATGACATCCACATAATACCACTGGTGATGCTAATCTTTGTCACTTGGTAAAAGAACCATAGTTTGAGCAACACAGTACATATAAAACATGTTTTCACATTCTCCCTTCTTAAAATGAAGTTTAATGAAAATTATTTGATTAAAAACATCATGTAGATACTCCTTACTTGAAATTTCTCTTTTTAACTTTTAACTCCAAAGAGATTAAACAATAGAAAATGATAGTATCTACAGAAATCTGTCATGGGAAAGAAGATATGCAGAGAATGATACAAACACATGCTTCTTCCAAATAAGTTCTTAAAATCTGTGGTAGGCCAATAATGCATAACAGAATTTAATGGCATGCCTATCCTTTATTAGAAGAACAACAGCTTGGAAATTTTTAGCAATCTGGATTCAGGATGATGCCCAAGTAGTTTGCTAGTAGTGGGAAGAGAAAAAGAATGAAAATCCTCATATACATTTGATGAACAATATCTCTCAGTGTAAAATAAACATTGGAGTTGAGGTGCAACCACTGAATATCATGGGTGTGAGAGTTTTGGTATATTCACCTTGAACTAAAAAGTACCCACTAAGCATGTTCAGGATAGGAGGACAAAAATTCTGTATGCTATATATTCTCCAACCACCCCATCCCTACCTAGGAATGAGTCTCGGGAAACTAATTTGTCACATCTTTACAGATAACAAATCAAAACCAGACACACGATTCAAGAAACTCAGTATTTCATTATATCATTTTTATTTGTATAATAAACATACTATTCCCTTACAAAATCTGGGAGTACAAACCCATATTCAAACTTAATTGTACTATTTTATAAAATTTGATTCTGTTCTGTGAAGATCTGTTTCAGTGGTTTGAAAGATTGTTTATACATATTGAGCTTTTGAAATGCATCAAACAACTAGACCCTAGGGAAAAGAGATATTGGACCTAGGAGCTTCCTAAAAATCTGACTCTCTTATTCCACTTCCCATTCCTGGAAGTTCCTTTCTTTCCATTTGTTTCAGTAAAACCCCTTTAAAAATCACTGGTGAAATCACTCTAAGAGTTTCTGGTATTTATAATTTTCATATGTTGTAATCAAAAGGTCGTTAGGTAAAACACAAGACACAGAAGAAGTATTTTTGTTGGATGTTTGTGTCACCAAAGACATTGACTAAACAATCAGAATAAAATATTTTCCTTTAAAAATCCAGGCAACAAAATGATTAAATTGTTTCTGTCATCCTAGACATCATTACAGTAGCTAAGCCAGGCAAAAATAGGACAGTGAGATGGTTCTTACCTGAAAGTGGCCACAAAGTTCACTGTGGGCCAGCCCAGGACAAAGGATTTCATGGCATTGGTGTTACCTTCTCCCACTTCATCCACACAGCTTGCTGTCCACATATCAGTTAATTTAATTTTATTTTTTATCTTAAAGTTATTATTATATCTAGAGAGAGGAAAAAAATAAAACAGGACTTCTCATTATTTTCTTCAAATTTCACAGGAGCTTCTGTACTTATTATAAGAGGACATTTCTACTTATCACAGGCAAAGAATGTCTTATTGTTTTTATCTTTAGCACTTAGCACAGTGAACTTGACATGCTTAGCTACCTAGGCCCATGAAACAGGCTTTGAAATATCTGGTGATACATTTAGTAGGTGTATTTTTAATATATTTTTTTTTTCTTTTTAAACTAGCTACTTCATTTTTCTATATGTTAAGTGTTGTATTTGGATCAAAACCCTAATTTAAATGTACTGCTATTACCAAAATTAGTTCATTTATTATTTGTATCTTGCTTACTTTAAAAAAAGATTTGAGTGGCTGGTGATTTATAAAAATGTTTATACAATTATGGCACATAAGAACCTGGAATTAGAGTAACTTTTAACTAAATGGCTGCAAGACTTTCTAGTCTTTAAAAGTGTAGGTTGTTTTAAATTTCCTCACTTATGATTCTGCTTAACCATTTTCCTTTATAATCTGGCAAAACTGAATAAATATAGGCTAAAATCAGAACCTACACTAGAAAAGAAAAAAGAATGAAGTTGACACAGTTAACACTCATCTCTGGGAACCTAGAAGATGACCTATTTTAAGTCACCAGTAAAACTGCTTTTAGATAATTTCAATTGTATCTCCCTTAGACCTCGGATACCACCATATCTTTTGACTTAATTGATAGATTTAATACTCATGATAGATCTGAGACTTAAGTAGTTGGAAAGCACTGAGAAGGATAAAGAAAGCCCCAGGAAACTTAGAATTTTCTAGCATCCAGAACCATTTGTGTAAATACTAAAAGTTAAAATGAAATAAAAAATACTTTATATGGAATGGTTCTAAAACTTCTCTAATATATGGAATATTTAAAGCTATAACTCTTTGGTGGGATTTATAAAATGAAAATGGATTTGCAGGAACTATACATAAAGACTAACCTAAATTCTAAGCCTCATTTATGCTTCCCTTTGGGTACAATACCTTTGTGATTTGAGATTAATGGCTTCTTTAAATATTTTCAACCCACTGCTATGAATCTTTAATTTTTATAAAAACAGATCTGATTACAGACAAAATCTTATTTTAATGGCAATCATTTAATCATTCCCAAGCATATTTATATTTATGCTGTTAAACATAATGCATCTATGAAAAGCCTTAAAACTGAACATGGATGTGAGAATCTTTCCATTAAATTTCCTATAGCTTTTCTCTCTTTGGCCTACTTTTTTTTTTTTTTGGTCTTTCCAAAGATACAAGGCTTTCTGATGAGACTGTGTGTGCTAATTATAGTGATAGGAGACAAATCTCACAAACATTTATGGATATAAAGCTGAAGGGATTAGCTTGTAAGTATTTAAAACAAGTCTTCCAATAAAGCTTTATATTGAAATGGTTGGTACTGGCATCATAGTGTTCTTCTTCCAATTTTTCATTCTCAATCTCTAACAGTATTAGATTACAAAAATTAATCTGAATCCAACTTGAACTGGCTCCTAAAGTATTATTTATTATCTCCCTTAGTACCATTTTGATAAAAGTCTAAATCTAATAGTAACTGGATGAAAACACAAAACAACCCTTTCAAATCAATTCCTTATTTCTCTATTACTATAAAATTAAGATGGCAAGCATACCTTGTTTTCCTACCCTCTGACTTTTATACTGGAATGAATTCCAGTGAAGTTTTAAAATACACAGGTTTCTATGAAGATTCTCCCCCTCATTATAAAATATAGATGTGTTATAGTCATATTTTGGGATAAAATCATGATATAGTCTATAACTATCTAATGGTAATTTTAGTGATAATGAATCAATAATCAAGACTTTTGTTAAATATCCTTTTATCTAAACAGAACTCATGGTTTATCATTTGATTAAGAAATGAAAGGACTAGAGATAGCTTAAGTGTGTGTGAGGTCATTTCTTTTCTAAAAATTACGCATGGTTGTTTTATGGCTATTAACAGAACATCCTCCTCCTTGTAAATATTTTCATGTTTGTAAACACATCCTGTTTTTAAAAATGAAAAGCCACAATTTTATTAGAAAAATAACTTATTTATCTTTCTAGTGAATTTTAAAAAATGGATTTTAGGGTCCATTTGGCTTTAATACTTGTTCTAATCTTGTATAAAAATGACAATAACCTCAAAATAATTCTCTGCTAATATTATCACAACATCCAGCACAAAATGGAACACATATAATACTTCAGCAAATAAAAGAAAGCACTTAAACTCTCCAATTTACTTACTAAAATTCACCTAGTGTGATTAAATAAGTAAGTGGCAGCTGAGAAATAATTTATCCCATTTGCATTTATTTCTATAAGCTCAACCTAATGACTGAAATAAGTTTTCAAATAAAACCTAAAGATGAACTAATATGGAACCCAAGATCTCCCTTTAAACAAAAGTACAAAGCATCAAATACTAAGTTCTAGTCTCAGATTATTTCAACAAATTAAATGATCCAGGGTACCACCTAATCCTTCATCCAAGAATGAGAGGTGATAGGACAGACATATGTTTGGCATTACAGGGGGATATTTCTTCCTGGTGCTGATTATTTTAGAAAAAAATTAAATTCATATTAAAATGGACTTGTGAATACATCTTCATGTTTGCTATGGGAAATAATCATATAAGTAATTTCCTGAAAAATTGTGGATAAAATATTTTCAAGGTGGCAGGATTCCATAATAATAATTATTTCCTCAAATATCTATGCTGTGTTTCAAGGGTATTGGGTTCTGCTAAAAAATGAAATAACTTAAGATAACTCATGCTTTTAAAAAACTCTAATGGATATGTAAAATACAATAATTTTTTATGAACCAAATCTCTTAAATAACAGCATTTAAATTAACTGATAGTTTGTTACTTCATAAAAACATTTAAGTGAACCCACAGAGTCATCTTGAAAGCAGTATGTAGATAAAACATGGTATAAACCTTACATGAGAAAGGTTTTTTTAAAAAAATTTTTTAGTTGTCAATGGACTTAATATTTTTATTTATTTATATGCAGTGCTGAGAATCAAACCCTCACACATAGGCAAGCACTCTACCAACTGAGTTACAACCCCAGCCCAGTTTTTTTTTTTTTTTGATTGTAGCTCAGTGGTAGCACATTTGTCTGGCATCTGTGAGGCACTAGGTTTAATCCTCAGCACCACATAAACATAAATAAATAAAGGTATTGTGTTCATCTACAATTAAAAAATATTTAAAAAAATAAAAACTCAGCTATAGAAGTAGATGATGGACATAGATTTTGCCAATGTATCTAAGAATAGTGATTTTCTAATAGAAAAGAAACTAACAGGCTTTTAGCAAAACATAAGATACATAAAACCATTTAAATGTATGCAATACAACAACAGATAACTTCAGGTAAGAAAACAAAGGTCCCCTTCTCTGAACATTATCATAATTTCTAAGAGAATAATAATCCAAGAAAGGCACAGGAAAATGCATTCCTTACTAACAAGTATGTTACAAATAAATATCTCTGGGACCCCAGAGTTAAAAAATTTGGTTATTTTAGGTTTTTGATATCTGCTTACAGGTTAAGCACAGGTCAGGCACCTAATAAGTACAACGTGGTCAAGTAGAAGGAACTAGCTGCTAGAATTAAGGCCTACATTCAAATCCCAGCTGTGAGAACTCCTAGTATGTGACAAACCTTCCTGAGCTTCAGTGTTTGATATCTAAAACAACTCTTAGGTTGGGGAATTATTAGGAAAATTAAATTATACCTCTGTGATTCTCCTATTGTAATACCTAGCATATAGAATCATCTAATTAAATTTAAATAAAGGCATGATAGCTAATCTACATTTAAAAAATGATTTGTTTTTCTTTGAATAGAATCAAGTGTACCTAGTGCAAAGGTTGGATAAGGAGACTTTTCTTTCTCTATATTACTCATAACATCATATTCATTTCCAAAGCTATAGGCATTACTTCTATTTAAAACATTCTGAAAGTCTTATATTTATTTTTGCTTTGAGTTTTTAAAAAATATTTGAACAGTTCAGTAAACCTTATATACCATTTTTTTTTACTAGATAGGTGTTTAGCTGGAGCATTTAACTCATCACAAAGGAAAGACTAATTATGAAACAACTACACAGTTGGAAAATCTTCTAGCAAATTCAGAAAAATACACTGGTTCAAAGATGGACTTTGAAATAAAATAGACCTATGTTCAAATGTGGTCTCAACTAATTACTAAATTTTTAATACTAGGAAAGTCACTTAGCTTCTCTGACTATATAAATTGCTTTGTAAAATGAGGAAAGTAATATCTCAGGGTAGTTATAAAGATTAAAGTATTTGTAATAATATCCAACATACAATAAGATCCATGCTATTTTTCATTGTTAATACCACTCCAATGAGATATAATGTTTTGCCAAATTAAATACTTCTCTACCATGCCTTATTTATGACATAGCATAACTTAGGTGTTAAAGTATTGGTAGTAAAAATAAAGTGTTTACTATTCTCTAGTGACTAAAAATCTCTGTTGATAATTGATTTATTAAAATGCCATTTGTTTCTCATGATGTTTCACAACTCATAAGAATGAGGGATGGAGGAAGTAGCAGCTACCACCTTTTAGGCTAGGTGTTAATTGCACTGGCATGTAGCATTGAGCAATAGATGAGTTTTCTTGGGTACCTCTAAGGCATACTTGAAATGTTGTATCCTTAACTGTCATCTCCAGAGATAATGTCCTCATTATCTCTCATTGGGACTACAATAACCTCTGTCTAGTCTATTTGCTTCCACTCTTGCCTGCCTTTCAACCTAACATGAGCAAATATATAAAAAATATCACATTATGACTGCAGAAGAAAATCAAACTCCTTATATCCTTCATGGTTCCAAACCTCCCTGCTTCTTGATACACCCTCATATAGTTGCCATATCTACTACACTAAGGTTGGTCTATGTTGCTAGTAGCATACATTATAAATGATGGTACATCACTTCCAAAAGATCTTTCACCCTAAAGTAGGCAACTGACCATATTATGAGTAGCACTGTGGAAAGGCTCACGTGGAAAGGAATCCAAACCTATCCTATTTTCTTCACAGTACTAATCATAATTTGTAATTCCCCTCATACATATAAAAATATAAGCTCTCACATTAGAATGTAAGCTTCAAAAGGGACAATACCCACCACATTCTTCACTGTGTCTTCTATATTTATTCAGGGTGTGGCACAAATAGGACCTAAATGAACATATTTTTAATGAAGAAGCAATGGAAACTTTTTTTCAGAAACAAAACAAACATAAAACTCACTTCATATATTAGCTATGGTAATAGAGACCAGATATTCTTACTGTAAGCACAGAATAGAAAGGGTATGTTAGTGGAAATGCAATTGTATAATTATATGTGGGACAGAGTATGCAATATACTTACTTGATTTTGGCCACAACAAACAGATCATTGAATAGAAAAAGATGCCTCTCCTGCCTCTGCAGGCCTCTTTTGAGTTCTGCCCGACCATCAATTAGCAGAGTCCTACTGGAGCACATAAATGATGACAGAAATGCACATGTGTCAACACTAGCAGAAGGACTTTCCCTGTAACAGATTACATGACACAGATAAGTTAGTCAAATGATCAACTACAGGACTAAGTTTTATGAAAATAAAACTTATAGTTGGTCAAGAAATATAAAACAGTGAAATATTTTTTTCATGCAATGGCATAGTGTTCTCAATGGTCCCCCAGCCTATTCTCCACACAGAAAACTTTAATACTTCATCAAAACATTTTGAAACATAAAGAAAAGTTGAAATAGTTTTACAATAAACACAAGTAAACCTCAACCTTGATTTTATCATTATACACCTAATCCAACTATTTATTCATTTAATCATTTTATTTTGGCATGTCAGTGTTAACTGCATAAAGCAGTTCATATCCCCCTACATACTTCAGCATGCATATCACTAATTAGAGGCTCAATATTTATTTGGAATTTTTCTCTTGCTATAAAACTTATCCAATGAAATGCACAAATGTATAAACCAAGTATATATTCTGACAAATGAATTCACTTGTGTAACCTAAATTCCTATCATGGTAAATGAAACTATCACTCCAAAAATTTCCCTTTAGTTCTTTGCCAATTATTATATAAATTAGCCCAGAATGGCCTCCATGTATTGACCCTTGGGTTATTTATTTCTTTACTGCAGGTTGAGGCCAACTTGCTCAAACGCTCATTAATGCCAAATCCAAATTTCTACGTACTTGATTATTTCAAAAACAGTTTAAAATGAGAAAATTTTTAGCCACTACTAGCCTGCCTGCTCTGTATAGCCAGTGTTTGCTGGACAATGTAACAGAGTTTGTGGTTATAAGACCCTAAGTTGCTACTACTCTTGAGCTCTCTGATCCCTTCCAAGCTATTAACATCAACTGAATAACTAATCTCCAGAGACAACCTCTCTAATCCTCTTCTTCCCCATGAATTCCCTTGTCCTCCTTTCTTTCTGGATAATGATTTCTTGCCATAAGTCTCTAGACAATCTCATTCTGTGATGAACTTCCTTTCTTATGCAAGCCTGTCCCATGTTCCCTGATCATACTTTGGTACTGGGAAATGAACCTACTGGTACTCTGCCATTGAGCTACATCCTCAATCCTTTTTATTTTGAAACAAGTTGCACTAAGTTTCTGAGGATGGCCTTGAACTTGAAATCCTCCTATTTCAGCTTCCTGAGTTGCTGTAATTATAGGCATGTGTCACTGTGTCTGGCCCATGGACATATCTTTTTAGCTGACTAAAAATCAATCCTTCAAACTACTTACAAACCAGTCAATCCCGACTCCATCACTCCAGACACAACCACTATTCTGATTCTTCCCCCCAACTGAAGATTAGTTGTAACTGTTCTCAAATTTTATAAAATGACAGCACAGTCTATCTTCTTTTGTGTAAGATATCTTGTAATGTGTTTTGGGGATTTATTCATGTTACATTTGTCAATAATCCACTAAATGATTTTACTTAATCCTATTCAATATATAACTATACCAGATTTTATCTATTCTCCTATTAATTAATACCTAGCTGTTTCCAGTTTTTAACCATTATGAATAAAATTGCTACTAAATGTTACACTGGTCTTTTTTTGTGATGTATGTTTTCATTTCTCCTGGGTAAATACCTAAGAGTGGAATTACTGGGTCATAGAATAGATGTCTATTTTTAATATCAGAAAAAAATGTCAGCTTGTTTCCCAAAGTGTAAACCATTTTGTATTCTTAGAAATACTACAGGAGAATTCCAGTTGCTCTGCAGTGTTACCTACATGTTGTGTTGTCAGTGTTTTGAATTTTAGTCAGTCTAGTGAATATATAGTAACGTATCACTAAGATTTTAATTTGCATTTCTGTGATGTTGAGTTTCTTTCATGTTCTTACTGGCCATTTGTGTATCTTCCCAGTAAACTGTTATCAGATGTTTTACCCATTAAAAAATGGGGTTTGCATCTTTTTATTCTTGAAATGTAGGAATTTTTTGTGTATCCTAAATATCAGTCCTTTCTCAGATATTTATTTTAGAATATATTTTTTCTCAGGCTGGGGATGTGGCTCAAGTGGTAGCGTGCTCGCCTGGCATGCGTGTGGCCCGGGTTCAATCCTCAGCATCACATATAAACAAAGATGTTGTGTCCGCCGATAACTAAAAAATAAATATTAAAATTCTCTGTCTCTCTCTCTCTCTCTTTAAAAAAGAATATATTTTCTCCTAGTCTGTTCTTTGCCTATAAATTGTCTTAACTATGTTTCTGACAAAAAGTTTATAATTTTGATGAAGTTTATCAATTTTTGCATATGGTGTTTACTTTCTATAAGTTTTCTACGAAATCTCCACTTACCCAAGAATACAATATTATATTATATTCTACCAACATTATTATATTTAGTTCTTAAATGTATGATCTGTCTCAAATTAATTTTGATTGTTTTTCTATATGACAATTCCTCATTTTTAGTATCATTTGCACAAGACTTTCCCTTTCTCCATTTTAGGCAAACACCTAGTACTTGAAAGAAATTTCAGAAGTAGAGATGCAGTTGCTTTAGCATATTTATTGAAAATTAAATTATATAAAGCACATATATTATTTAACTTTAATCTTCTAGGCTCTTTATTCTGCTGCACTAATCTGCTTGTAAATTCTTACGTTAGAATCAATCACATTGTTTTATTGTTTTTCTGCTGTAGATCATGAAATTAGGTAGTGTAAGACTACCATATTTTTATTTTTTAATACTGCTTTAGGTAATTTAGGTTCTTTGCACTTTTATATACACTGTACAGATGAACAAAAATGAAGAACAAAGAAAAAAAAGCCTATAATGGTCAGAGAAGGAGAGATGAACTCAGTTTCTAATATACTGACCCTGAAGTTATCAGTAGGGTAGATAGTGAGGAATCAGGCAAGCACCTAGCATTCAGAAGAGATTCCAGAAGTAGAGATACAGATTTGGTGATCATACAAAGATTTGTAAATAAAACCATGTGAATGACTAGAATTCCCCAGGAAATAAACACAGAATAAATAAAAAAGCAGAGACACATCCCTGAGAAACATGTAAGTAGAAGAAATGAAGGAAAGAGAACTTGTGAACAAGGTAAGGGCTGGTGAATAACTTGGCAGAAACAGCCTGCTGTGGTGGTCTGGAGTACTGACATTGGCAGAGGGGGAATAAAAAGTTGAGGTCTGAGAAGATGTCTGGGAGAAAGTCATCAGCTGGTCATTTAGGCCTTTAAAAAAAAAATTTCCAGGAGAGAGGTAAAGGCAGAACTCAAATGGCCTGGTGTCTGAGAAGAAATAGTGTATCTCTGGTGAAGAAGAAAAGGTAGGAAGAAAGAAACAATCAGCCCTGAAAGTAGGTTTTATTATACCTCATTTTACACATGCAAAATATTAAGAGTAGCCAAAAATGCTGCACTTCAGTGTAAGTGACTTAAAAGCAAGTATGATTTTAAAACATGTACTTAAAAAATTCCATGTAGCCTTCCAAATGGGCAAATACTTTATATTGACTCAGTAACCTCCACTGATGGTTACTGAGCTCAGTGGTTTAGGACTTCATGGCCTGTGGAAGGAGAAGCTAACCCAAGTTCCCTGTCCCTCTATAAATAGCATTATATGGCAAGTAATTTGATGACCTCAATTTCCTTATCTCTAAAGTAAGGTAGTCAAACAAGGACTATAAAATCTTTAAATTCCATTTATAATTAATACATGGGACTAACTATAATAACATGTACCTGAAAGGTAAAATTAATATGGGTGATGAAAGGTAAACAGATAATGGATACCATTAACCATCTCTGTGAAAACAATACTGTTATATGAATAAAAAAATGTCCCCCCAAAAGCTCATGTATTAGGCAATGCAGGAATGTTATGAGGCGAAGTTATTAAATTATGAAAGCTGTAATTTTATCAGTTAATTAATCCATTTGATGAATTAATACTCTGAATGGACTACAGGGTGGTAAATATAGGCATGTAGGATTGGGTTTGAATAATATGGGTCATGGTGTTTTATCTTTCCTGGACATACTAAAAGTCTTAGGATCATATATTATTGTGATAACTCTGAGATAATGCTTGAATGGCTGGCTATCATCTCCTCTAATATAATTGTTCTTGAGGTGTGGTCCATTGAATAGAAGTATCAGCATCAACTGGGAACTTACAATGCAAATTCTCAGGCCCACCAGACTTTCTGATCAGAAACTCAAGCGTTGGTTGAACATTCTGTATTTCTGTATGATGAATATAATAAGGCTGCTTCAGAAAATTTACATGTGCATTGATTACAAAGAGATGTAGACATATGTTAGTTTGTTTACTGATCAATAAACCAAGTCACCAATATGCTCATTAGAAACTCCAATATTTTGAATTAGTGTCATATTTAGATATGAGGTGTCCCCCAAAAGCTTATCCATGAGAAACAAAAAGGTATAGAAATGATTGGGTTATGAGAACCTTAACCCCATCAGTGCATTAATTACTTGATAGAGATTAACTGAGTGGTGACTGTAGGCAGACAGGGTGTAGCTGGAGAAGGTGGGTCATTTGTGGGATGACTTTGGTGTACATCATGTCCTGAGCTGCTTTTCTCTACCACATCCTTCCACCATGATGTCTGCCACACCTGGAGTCCCAAGGAACACAGCTGGCCTTCTATGGGCTAAGACCTCTGAAGCTGTAAGTTCCAAAATAAATTTTTCCTCCTCTAAAATCATTTTTGTCAGATCTTTTTAGTCACAGTGGTGAAAAAGCTTACTAAAACAAGTAGTCTGGTTTAGGTAATAATTATATAATGGCATACTGAGAAGAACAAAACACTTTTTCCTGATTAGAAGTAGTTTGATAACTTAGGGGTTTGCAAACGTTAAAAAATATCATCTAATAACTGTTTTCTTTTTTCTTTTTGAGGCAAGGTCTTGCTATGTTGCCCATGTTGATCTCTTAATTCATGTGACCTAGTAATTCTTGGGCTTCAGCCTCCTGAGTAACTACAACAGGTATGTGACACTGAG